AAAAAAATGTTAACGTTAAAGCGATACATGTATAAGATATAATTTATATGATAATTATCGGATTCATAAGGTGTGGAATAGAGAGCAAAACTTGCACAAACTTACATGTGGCGAAACCAGTTTCGTAAATGTGGGATCTGAGTAATAGTAAGTAAAGTTCATTTGGGAATCGAAGTGCAAATCCTATCGCTATTGTAAACTACAGCATCCTTGCATTAGTAGTTTTAACAATAATATGCGCATCTAAAAAACAGCTTGTTTTCTTTGAATTAATATTAAAATCGAATAGAAAAAAAAACTGAGAACACAAATACCGGATAATGATTTATACTCACATATAAAAGTTCATCTAAAAGAATAAAGTGCAAAAACTTAATATGTACGTATAATCAATAAAATGTGACAAGCATACCATAATTCTTTCGGGAATAAGCAGTACTCCACGACTTAATTTGAAATCAAAAAAGAAGTGCCACTTATTTTGTGCAGATTGAAATTTTTATCATTTAACAGTTAAGGTGATTTCACATTGGTGTATATTTCTAAGTAGATGTTTATATTTGAATAATTAAATTTCCTATATATATTCAGCCTTCTTAATTAAAAATTGTCGTGACATCTTTATCATTATACAGATGAAGGTTAGCAAGTTTTTGTCTATTAATGAAATTGTCTGCTCAGAGTACTGTACTGAAAACAATATGTATTACTTTATAAAATAAAGACCGTGACAGCAAATTAAAATAATATTGTCTTTAATAATTCTTAAAATTTTTAACATTAACAAATTATTTTGAATTTTCTTTTAAAAATTACATGTTCCGCAACTAATGCATAAATTTTGGTTTCCGAAGAATAACAAAATTCATGATTTTGAAGTTACTTTTTTTTGCAAGTATGGAATTAATAATCTAACAAAGAAATTTGAATATTCTCTATTAAAATTTTGGAAAACAAACTATTTTTGAATTGTATCTTTATTTAAATCTTTTTTTGTTTACAAAAGTAAACTTATCTTATAAAAAGTCATAAGAGCTGTCTATCAAAAAATTGGCTCAAAATAAGTTGAGAAAAGCAAATTATTGTTTCGTTGACCAAAAAGTTTATGTTTAATTAGTGACACTTGTAAATTCTACTGATCCTTAGAAAAATCCGCAATTAATGAACTATCCTAACTAATGTTTTGATTAATTAGTCAATTGGACATCTTAAAGGCTACTTGTCAAATTTGAGTATACAAATGTTCAGTTGAAGAAATATGTTAAAAATCAATCAAAAAATGAAACAACGGCTTCCTAGCGTTTTTTATCATTTTCCTCTTGTTTGCAATCAATGGACCCGTCCTATAAAAAATATAATCAACAAATATTCGATATCAATATTCATAAACAAATATGTCACATAATATTTGTCAGATATCTGTAAGCATAATACGAACATTTGAATGTTGTAGAATGCTTTTTTTATAGGCCGTAGCCGTTATGGATACTTTACACGTTGTCCCAGAACGAATAGTTCGCCCAATACGAATAATTTATCAACTTTGAATGGTTTGTCTCTTACGGGATTAATAGCATAAGACAGCGCAACGGTGTAATACATGTTGATTTGGATGGAGAAACTCTGTTATTCGAAATCATTTGTAAACTGATTTGTTTGATAACTAATATAAAGTAATATCTCAATTTGTTATAACCTCTACTGAATACCATGGAATTAGTGTAGAATTAGTTTTTTGGACCTTTAGAGTTTTTGATTCGATATCTGGAGACATACAATCTCGCTGCAGAATTTGTTGTATCTCAGAAAATGAATGTTCGAATAACATGTTTGAGTCAGTTGTACAATATTTTGAGAAAATAAATTTGAATTTATATTGATGCGTGCATATATTATTTATTAATTCAAGTATTTAATAATGATATTTTCTTTTTCTGGTCTTTATTTTTTTGAATGCTTTTACATTTCGTTTTATTTTACATTCGGATTCTTTTGCTTTATTATGTATTCTTTTATGTAAATGATTGATATATCGTTCAGCAATATCCATAATAATGAATGATATCCACCGATGGGAAAAGTGCGTCTAGATTTTAATGATTTATACGGGAATTATACGGAATGATTGCGAACGCGCCAGGAACTTCACGGCGGTATGTCAGGGATGTGTAAGGAACTCGAAATGTTCCATTTGGTATCTGCTCAAAATGCGACAGAAATTACGGACAAATACGTAACGAACAGAATACATAAGAAAAACACAGGGAATGTCAGGAATGCATAAAGAACACACAAACCTTTGTTTGAAACACGCGAAGAATTCATGCGCAATGCATACGTAATGAGCCGGAAAATCATGATATATGTGGTGACCATATGGAAACAAAACTTGCTTGGGAATGCACATGGAAAAATCAAAACGATAGATACAAGTCCCGTAATCAACGATTCACATCTACTGATTCTGTGCTATTTTGACACCCTGCTTATGTTAGTTTGCACAAAACTAAAATAAACACTGAACTGTCAAATGAGCTGATAATTTCATCTATACTCGAAACATGTGGTTTGGTTACTCGTTCATGCAAAATTAATTGAATAATCAATTACATTTATACAGTTGATACTGTATAATTGCATACCATCCGTAAGCATAAAAAAATTCATCTTTATGTATTTTTGACAATATCAACCAGTAAAATTCTGTAGAATAATTGCATATTACTCAAACTATTTTATATAATAAGATAGTATCAACTGTACATGTATTCCTTTACTTGTCACTTTTCTTAGTGCACGTGTACTGAAACACAATGATGATGCTATAATGTCCGTAATTATATGTATAAATTTTAGTATTCAGATAAACGTGTTTCATGACATGAATGTGCATGCATACATGTGTGTGCATATCGAGATAATTAAAATTTATCCTTTTTTGGGAATATCTATTGACATTATCAATAGAAGCATTTTTTGCCTTTTGTATTTACTAGAACTTGATTTTTATGCAATTGTTTTAGAATGCTTTTGTACGCGATTGAAACATGTTTCCTTGTTCAAGAACAGAAGAAGAAAACAAGAAGAAATGCAAAATTATCGAACAACCAAAAAGATGCACTATGTTAGGACAGAGATTGTTTCTCCCTTTTTATCTATTGTATTAATTGTAATTAATTATTTTCATTACCAAAATCACTCATCTTTGTCTTTCTTCATTAATTCGTTTATTTTTTTCTGATTTGATTCGTATCTGCAAGAATTAAATTTCTAGTACATATAGAGACAAATGACAAATTTACAATCGAGGATAGCTTATTACTAAGATGTATGCATTCGAAAATTATACGTACATCTCGTCTGTGTGTGTATCTCCGGCGTTATAGAGTCAATTGCATGTTTAATTATTTACTATATAACATTCTTGAACATGATACATATCATGTATAATACTTTAATTAATATATTTTTTATCACTATAATTTAAAGAAAAACTTTGTTGAAGTATTAAATATCACTATAAATATTAATAAGCAAATAAATCTTTTAACCGAAGTGTTGACAAAATATATAAATTTAAATTAAAGACTTTATCACACGTAATACAGGAAAATCTTCCCTCTCATAATGCAATTATCTCGGCATGGTTGGTTCCAACTTATAGGCGCTTGTATACTTGTTCTCCGTAAGTGCACACTTTCCTAAATATACGCTCTACCTTTTTTTATCATAATCCCAGGGTGCAGTTATCTGTAATTATATGCATGATAAAATACATGAATACTGTACCTGATTGATGATGACGATATATAAAGAAAAAAGAAGTGAATGGTTTAAAGTCTAGGTGTTACGTATTACTTTAATAATTTATCCCTTTACATAAAAGAAATTTCGTTTTTAATTTCTGTGTATTTATATGTGATAAATTGCAGTAGCTTTCATACGGGGTGCTATAAATTTTAGAATGAATGATGTCAATTGACAAGATCTAAAAGATTATTTTTAACAGTTCGATAAACTTAATTATCATATCGCTTTTTCAAAAAAATTTAAAAGTCACCTTTTATTTTTAGTGAACTATTTCCGATTTAGGAAAGCAATTTTTTAGAAACGTGTCTAATATTTTATGTCTCACAAAGTTTGTCAGTAAATGGCCAATTATGAGTTGATGAACTTATAGGTTATGCAACTAGCTAAAGATTATGTAAGCTGAAAAAGTTTCGAGTGGACGTAATGACGATGAATCTTGTTTACTTTCTAAGAGAAAATAAAAAAATTATGTTTGCAAGCCTGAGACAGAAAAAATTTACTTTATATTTTGATATAGAAAGATGAAATTTATTATTACGTAAGATTTCTTATCATATGTGTTGCCCTAACTAAAACACAAAAAATACACTACTACTGGAACAGAGATTTGAAACTAAATAATGGTAGCGATAATAAAAACAGAATCAATAAAAATCAAAAATACGTACAGAATCAAAGAGCATATAGACAACTGGCATGCTTAATTATTAATGAATATGTTAATTCTTAATACGACATAATACTGGAAGAAAGGATAAACTATAACAATTTTTAAATGACAAGAGTTTCGTGTTTAATCCATACTTAATTACTCATAAATTATTAATAGCACAATTAACCTATTTTGATAATTGATAACGAAATGAAGTAATGAAACATTAATTTAATAAAATGCATCAAAGGAATCGGTATTGATCAAAGCATAAGACCGGTTTCAAAAGAAAAATTTGAGGAAACATTTTGTTCGAAAGAATTTGAAACACTTTCGAAAATTGGCGGAAAGGGAGATTGATGAAAATTTATAGGAGGTTGTTGTTGATTATCAGAAAATGGCAAGGCTTGATTATTATCAATTGCGGGAGGGTCAGGAAGAGATTGCACTTGTATCAAATTATCTGAGGTGATTTTAGATTCATTGTATTTTTTTGAATTTTGCATAATAGGTGGCCTCCATTTGTATTTCTTCGGTTTCTGGGTTTTGGTATGCAATGGTATTCTTGCAGAAATAGTTTCGTTTATTTGTTTAGCCAAATTTTTAAATTCCTGTTTGACAAAATCGGGTTTAGCTTTCCATTTGACCGACGCTTTTCGTGAAACTTCAGAAATATTTAGTCGAATATTCCTGCCACTCAGAATTTGGCTGTATGCTGTTCTAAATAGGAAGAAACCGTTCAGAGGTTTCTTCAACTTTTTGGTCAATGTATCAATTTGTGTACTAGTCATTGGTAAGGTGACATCAATTTCTTCAAGGCCGCAATTATTTGAAGACATGTCGCAGATATAACCTTTTTGCTTGTTTAATGCTTGTTTAAAGGAAATTGACGGATTCGTTGTTTTTTCTTTCAGAGAAATTCATCGCTTTATTTATACGAGTTAAGTTTTACAATTCGAATAGATCGCAAAGATCATAACTGTGGCAATTTTTTAACATTTATTAAAAATTATAAATAAATAAATATAGAGACTTATATTTCATATAAGGTGCACAATGAGTTAAGATTCTCCTAAACTCGAGATAAGATAATTCTGAAATAATATACAGGGAGCATCAATTAAAAAACTCGACGATTCACAGCATATTTTGCTCATAAAACTAAAAACAAATTATAGGTATCATTATCGCTTATCTACTGTTTATCATCTTTTCTGACCGAGTATTTTATGCCTACCGAATTTCTTAAACTTAAATAATTTTTTTCAAGCCATTAAATCATAACTTTCAAGATATAGATCGGGCAACCAATAATTAATGGTGTAACAACGTGTACTTGTATATCCGATCTTTTTTTGTCATGTATTGTGTTTCTAACATATAGGTGCATTAAGAACTTGAATTTTTATTATGCGATTAGATATTTGTTAAAATTTATTAGGCTTTCTAGAGCAGTAATTTGAGATAATCAAGGAGTTAAAACTCCATATCGATATGATTATTATGCATACAAGATTTGTAATTGTTCTGAATAGTAATGATCTTTATCTTTCTGTGCAATTTAATAGACAAGTAAAATTAAAAATGAAAATTCAAAAACAAAGTCGTTGATTTCTTACTCCCTAAATCAAGGATAGAATAATGGATTAGTTAATAAATTCATATCAGCTAAAAAAAATTAAAATGTAAAATAAAATCGTTGATTTCTTACAATCTAAATAAAGGATAGAATAAATAAATTAATATCAAATAAATTAAAATGTAAATGTAAAATAAAATCGTTAATTTCTTACGTTTTGAATCAGCGTTAATAAAAAAGTTATGATAATTAATAAGATATTAAATAAAGCAATGCGCTTAATCATAATTTTTACCTCTCTTTACACATTTATTGGTCAATCTAGCCTCCACTAAATTATTATTATTATATAATAGAATTAGAACAAAAGATGAATAAATAGCTACAAAAAAGGTTCGCATTCTTATCTAGACATTATCTTTAATATTAATTGCCTCATGCAATAATTCTTTTATTGTCTTGACTGACTTAAATACGACCTTTTTCTCATTCCAAAAAACTTTGTAACTTCACCAAATCCTCCTAGTAAATTCTTCAAAAGGTATTCTCTTAATTTCAGGTGTCGATTTAATAAACTTCTCATTTCATTATTTGATTCTATTTCTTTTTTAGTGTCTGCCATATATTTAAGATATGTTCAAAGTGGACGAACGATCTGAAGAAAGTATTCAGACAAGATCAGTAATCAGAAAAATAAATGAACTTTATTCAAACGCAAACTGTAACACTTTCGTCCATCCAAATTATGTTGTAATGTTGTAGTAATAGCATTTTATTTCTTAGTGTCATTATTTTATAGATCATTCATAATTACAAAGTATCCGACACTTTTGATGATCTGCATAAATTCGAAAATTATATCGAACATTTAAATTGATCTTTCTCAAAAATTGCATTTACAACCCTTAATAAAATTTATATTTTTGAAATCCTCTTGTT